CTCGCCCAGCTCCCGGCGGTGCACCAAGACTGGTGGCACAAAGCGGTGGCGAGTTCACAGGCTCAGGCCGGAGTGTCGGTCACATGGGTTGGTGGCTTCGCTGGGAGGAAATTTTTCGCGCGCAGGCCGAGAGCAAGCTCTTCGTTCGGGAGCCATTGGTGGCTCCAGTGAAGGCGCTCGCTGCCATGTGGCATGAAGGTGTGGCACCGTTTTCTCCAGACACTTGGATCGCAGTGAGATGGCTGGTCACGGCTCGTGGAGTCCTGGCCCCAAGTCTGTAACGTGGAATCCCAGAGAAAGCTTGGTTGCGATGATGCTGCGTAACATCAGTGCCTACATGCAACTCACACCGACAAGGCACCAGCGTTTGCGATGCTTCCATTACGAGCCAACGCAGAAAACGTGATGAGCCTGCAGATTGTATGTGGTTTGCTGGGCCTTTATTGCGCTGGTCCATGCGAGGGACGGTTGAGACATTGACTGTGCAGCCTGCGGATGTTTTTCCAAACTTGTGCCAGGCCTGTGTGCAGGTTGTTCATCCAATTTGTTGCCGCTGAGAGACATCACTCAAAAATGGCAGTATGTCACACATTGTGTTCCCTAAAAGTAATTGGGATGCTTGGTGGTATCGGGGCATATGATACCTTGCCAAGCGCGGTTGTCATCACTTGCATTTTGTATCGTGTGCGCATTTGCTCTGATTTGCTTCGGCGGTCCTCTTCGGAGGGCTGGCCGCACTGGCCGAAGGTTTGGCCAACGCATCAGCGCCTGTACTTTCAGTAGACCCAAACTTCCTGCCGCCTTGCGTTGCTCTGATTTGCACGTTGGAGGGGGAGTAGCGGAACCATCATCCCACAGTGTAGGTAGTAAAGCCTGGATTGATGCTGTTTTGGCTGCTTGGATTGAAAGCCCGCCACTTGCATCCTCCGGTTGCATAGATTCGCATGTTAGTTGCTGATGCGCAGGCTAAGCAGAGACTAGATGGTGCCAAGCATCAAAAACAACAAACTGACATTCTGTGTGGGGCTCAGCAGCTGCGTGCGGGCCAAACAGCCGCGCGGAGTAAGCCTACACCTAATCCACCTACTGTGCCTTCCCCGCCTTTGCCCTAGTGGCGCCTGCGAGGACAGGACTGGCGCCAACGAAAGCCTACTAGCACGCCTGCGCCTTTGACAGCTGAGGGGCGTCAAGATGCTTCGTAATCAGGCCGCGGAGGACGCGCGCCAGGAGTCTACTGCATAGGCATAGACGGAGTGGGCGGGGCCTCTGCTGACAGAGTGTTGCGCAGCATCCCAGCAGATACGCCGCCTCCTGGTTTGTTTACACTTGTTACCTCTGCGCCCACTGCGCGCTCCGAATCTATGCCTCTGCAGGTTGTTGTCCTCTACCCTGATGACACCCCATACGTGGCGCAGGTTTATCTCACTGCCGTTGACGCTGTGTAACAGTTCTGAACGCCAGCTTTTTCAGGCCATCCCTGAAGCGCAGAAGGCAGCCGTGCAGGCACCTGGCGGCAGTGGCGCTATGGGCAAAGCCATGGGCAAGTCCTCAGAGAGGGAGAAGGGTAAGGGCAAGGGCAAGAACAAGGGGTCCCACCTACCGCGGTCATGCTTGTGAATACCCATTTCAAAAGCCTTGTTGATGCTCCTGGGGCTGCGGTTTTTGAGGCGGGGAAAACTAGCCACCGTCGCGATCATGAGGATTCCATTTCGAGTGTGCACGCATGTCCCCAAATCCATTGCACTCACCTGGCTGACTAAGGGACTTCCATCCGAGGCGGTTGTAGCAAGGGATCCCATCGCGTTTGATGAGCTTTCCCCTTTCCGGAGGGTCTGGTTACCGGATCGCTCGCCTCTCATTTGTGGCTCTGCGCCTGAGATTTTGAATTCTCTCCGCTTAGCGCTTGCTGGTGTTTCCGGAAATTGGGGGGTTATCCGGCTCCTGGGCGATGGGGCGTGAGGGTTCACAAGGATCAGGAACAGGCTGCCAAAGCTGTTCTTCAGCCGCGTGTGGTGTTGGTGCCCGAGACGCATTAGAAGTGTTGCGTTCGTGACCTGCCTCGGGATGTTGGCCCTGAAAGCATTGTTGCCACTCTTGCCTCTGATGCTTTCAAGCCGTATTTGGTCAGCTACCAGCCCACTGGTAGTACAACACGTCGGCTTACTCTTGCCTCCCCCACACCGCCCATTGACATTGCGTTTGCCATTATAGTTTCAGGTGGTGCCCTTCAAAATGTGCTGCTTGAGCAGCTCACTGGCCCGGTTGGTAACTCCGTTAAGCGTGCTGAGGATGGCAGCCCTTCACGCAAAGCTGTCAAAGTTGTGAGCGGGGGCCGGCAGGGGGGCGCGGAAAGGTCGGCTGAGGACTTTCCTGCTCCAGGGCAAGTCTTCCAAAACCGGGTCCCCAAATTCTTCGGGGTTGGTTGGGTTTCCTAACATGAGTAACACGTGCCACGCTGCCGCTGTCATCCAGGTGCTTCTCATCTTGTGGCCTTGTCGGCGTTGAAGGTTTCCCAGTTTCTCCAGCACGCTTCGCTGAGACAGGTTTTGGCTTGCCATTGCATAGACAATTGGCATGCATTTCTTCATGCGCTGCGCCTTGGCGAGTCTGAAGCACAGGTGAAGGATGCCGCTCTTTTCTTGGAAAGCATGATTGAAGCCGAGCCTGCCCTTCTTTCACAGGTTGAACTGGTTGAAGGGCTTTCTGTGGAGCGTGTCGGTTGTGGTGCCTGTAGGGTTATTTGCAGCGCTGAGGTTGTCCATAGAGTAGTTGCGCCCCTTGTGCCCGCTGACCTGCAGTCTCTCTTGCAAATGGATTTCAGCTGTCTTGCAGATGAGATTGAGGTTAGCTGCCCACAGTGTTTTGCGGCTACTGCTACTCCGCGGCCAGAACCTTTCGACCCAGTGAGACGTACAGGTCCGTCCGGGTGGCTTACATTCTGTCAAGAATACGGTTCCTGTGCGGTTGCAGACTGTGTGGCTCTTTGGCAAGTGTTGGGAGGTATGTGCTGTTGTCTGTTACGGTCCACAGGCGAATGATGGACACTACATAGTCATGCAGGCTGACCCCTCTCTCCCCAACGGCTAACTGCTCCAATATAATGATTGTAGAAGGTTCTGCCCTTATGCTCCGCCCCACTACTACAGCCCAAGAATGAGCTGCGCCCAACTCTCCTTATGGGGGGGTTGGAAATACAAATGAAGGGATCCCAGCACCCCCCTTTTGAAACCCTCCAACGCAGGTTTTGGAACCGGGGGTACGCAGCCTATGCATCCTTGTGAGCAGGCCTCTGACGTCTCTGTTACTACACTGAAAAGGTTGAAGTCCAGGACCTTCGGGCCGCGCTCATGCAACCGTGCCAATCCTGTGATGCTAGTAGCCATGTTGACCAGCTGCAAAATGACGTTGTCGCTCAGCAAGCTGTCATACGCGCGCTGGAGCATGCTGTGGAGGAACTTAGGCAGGCTCAGCGTTTAGCCGTTCGTGCGCGACCCTCTTCTTCATCATGTAGTGCAGGGTTGCTTCCCGCTGCTGCCGCCGTTGCTGAGGCTGTCGCGCGTTCTCCACCCAACGTACCTGATCTTGCTCCTGCGGATCGTCTGCCCACTCCGAAGTCCACCCATCCTGCTCAGGCTGTTCATTTGCAATGCGTCGAGAGGGGAGCTTTGCGCGTTCTAGGAATCCTGCCCTCATCTCTGAAATTGCTAAGCTTTAGGCTGCGGGTGCTGCACGGTTGGCATGGTTGGTTGAGCGGTTCCACACGGGTGCTGTTCTGTTACCTCTGGCCCATGAGGCTGATGACGCAGACGCATGGCAAGGTTTGGGTGAGTCTCTGGCCTTTACTACTCAGGTGCGACTGCGGAACAATCAAGTCATCAACATTGCGGTGAAGTGGATTGTCGTGCGCATGCTTGCACGTGGTAGGTGTGTTAGGTTTCATTAAGGGCTTCATGATCTGCGTAAGGCTGGTGATTGGGATAGTTTGCATGCCTGCCTGCGACGAGCCTGGCAGGTCCCCTGTTGGTGGTGCCCGCCATGGTCCAGCTCCTCTCCCAATCCCCTTAGCTGCAGAAGTCGGCAGCCTCTGCTCCCTAATGTGTGGCAGCACTCTTACAAACGTGCGCGCAGTGCCACGCCTCGGAGGGCGGTGACGCCTGATGGAGAATGCCCTGAACTGTGAAAGGATGAATAGCATCAAGGCCTGGTTCGCGCTCGACCTGCAGCTGCTAGCCGAGCGGCCTGGTGTTGACGATGAACTTATTGCCAGTCACATTGAGACACGAAAGGGCACTTCCTTTGAACCGAAGGATCCTGAAGGCCAAAGAAGGCTGCGAACTTGTGCAAACCTCCTTGGGGAACGACGTAGACGGAGCCCGCGATCACAGCGCAGAGCTTTTCCGGATAGACCTGCGCGAGCTTAGTGGTGAAGACGCGCGAAAACCTTGCGTCCTCGCGCGTCTCTGAGGAACCCGACGAGAGGAACATGTTGACGATCGCCGCGACACTGCCTTCTCCAGCTCTTGAACAAAGCGTAGCTGACCAGGAACCGCGTAGGTTTCTTTATACTCGCATTGATCCATGTACACCTCACTCGCCGCATGAGGCTGGACAGTGAAGGAAGTCGACTGCCCCCATCTGAATCGGTCTGTGTGTGGCGAATGGCGCAGCCGACGTGACATGGCCACCCAACAAAGCGGGCCGTAGCGAAGCAGAAAACAACAAATGATCAACGACAGAGCCGCTGGCTGCCCTGTGAGCACAGCAAGTGATCTCGTGATTGTCCTGACAATCATTTGCAGAGCAGTTGGGGAGTCATCCAGATCAGCGTTGAAATCGCCTCCCAAGAGCACGTGGCCCTTCACAGTCGGAAGCCATCCAACGAGACGCTCAAAAGGGTTTCACGCGCGCCTGCGTCATACACGTCAGCGTAGCGTGCCCCACAAGTGATCTCAGCAACAGACGCGGTGGAGCCCAGATGAACCTTGCCAGCAATAAGGAACATGCAATGGTTCGAGGCGAAGCCCTGGACCACCCAACAGAGCAACCCCACGCGAGCACGTCACACCAACACCCTCCACTGGCGCACCGAACACAAACCGGCGCTCCTCCTTCTGGAGCTGCGTGGCAGGGATGTCCTGTGCCGCAGAGGTCAGAGCAATTTCAGCCAGAAAAGCCAAGCTAAAGCCAAGTGCGCAGACAGCGGTGAGATCGGCCTTCTGCCGCCGACGCTTTTTCCCATCGGCGTTAGGTTTTGGGGTGCTCTGAGTGGAGCCTTGCCCATCCATCGGTCCATCGCGCCAGCGCCACCGGCGCTGCGCAGTTTGCGCCCACCCTGACTAGTATTTGCAGCAAAGAGCGCAACTGCTTTCACCGGTCGCAGATCATCTTCTCCGGCGTGAACCCGATCCTCACCTTCGAAGACTACTGGGAGGAGTTCCGGATGATCGTCCGCCACAGCTCAGCTGCGCTTGCGCATCAAGCTCTACGAGGAGATGATGGCCGTGGCAAAGTGCGTGGACACCTCGCTCGTCTTACGTTCAGTTTTCCCTGTTGTGGGCCAGATTGAGCAATCGCAACGATGGCCCCGTTCCAAAAACAACTGTTACCCTGTTCCATTAACAGATGCCCTTCGGCGGGCCTGGGAGTTCCGTGGTAAGATCTTTCGCAGGCGCGCGGCAGTTCCCGTGAATGATAACGTCAGTAACCTCAGATCCAATTGGCAGCCAACGCTCGAGGACGTGAAAGAGGGCTACATGGTCGGCTCGTTTCGAGTGAAGATGAAGTCTCTCAGTTCCTCGGGTCTAAGGAATGGATCCCTACACCGAGAATTGAAGTTGTCCAAAAGAACAAAGTTCCCGGATGTGGCAGTCGACTACCTACAACTTGATCAACAAGACTGCCAAGCTCACGCAGAAGCTTCAGCTCCCTTCTGCGGACGTGAACGTTGCAACCCCCAGTGAGCCCTTCACCCGCTCGGCGCCCCAAAGTCTCCAAGGGTGCGTTCTTGACGAAAGGAAAGCATATCGACAGGTCCGACAGGTCCCGATCGAAGTGGATCACAGGCGATTCAGCACGATTTGTCTCAAAGATCCAGACGTCACACGCCAAAACTTCATCATGATCGGTCATCCGTTCGGCCCAGTTACTAGTTTTGTACAATTACAACCGCCGCTCTGCTGCGATCAATGACATATTTTAGAGGAGATCTTCTCGATGGTCGCGTTCAATTTCTATCATGACAAGTATGGGTTCGAGACTTCCGTGACGGCTCCGTCAGCTAGAAAAGTGGCGGAAGAAGTTCACTTCCTTCTGGGTGCCCAGTTCGAGGAGAAGAAGCTCCAGCTCACCCCCTTGCCGGCGATCCTCGGCGTCGCCTGTAACCTGGGCGAAATGATTCTTGAGATTAAGAAGAACAGGAACCGCAGGCAAGCTCAAGGGCAAGCTGATGTTCGGTGCATGCCAGCTCTGGGGTAAAGTGGGAAGAGCCTTCTTCAGGCCGATCTTGGAGAGGCAGTACATGAAGGACATGGATGCTGATCGCATGTGCCTCAACGCACCGCCGGGGGAGGTCTCCCTCAGGTGCGAGAAGAAGTGCGACGTCGTGATCTTCACGGATGGCTCCACCTGTGGCCCTCGCAAGAAGGAGAGAGGCCGGGATCGAGTTGGAGCCGTGATGTTCCATCGACGAGAATATTGTCCTTTTCAGTTCTCCCAAGTGATCCGTAAGGACGAGGAAGACCCGGATTGTCCCCACCGAGATGATCGCTACTGTTCTCGCCGCCGACACCTTCAGAGATCACTTGAGAAGCAGAGATGTCTTGCTGCTCATCGGCTGAGAGACTGTCGAAGCTTCGCTCGTCAAGGGTTGTTCCTTGAGGCAGGATCTATGCCGGATCGTGGAGCTGTTTTGGGATCTGGCTCTTAAACTCAAGCTCAATTTTTTATAGGTGGAGTCTCTTCAGATTCGAGCCTTGCGGATTGGCCGTCACGTGATCACCTGTCTATCGGCGAAGCCGTCGGATGGAGGACTGTTATTTGTTCTTGGCCGTCAGCTCTGAAGTGATTTGCTTGGGGTTGGTCTGGGCCTGGGCTGGACTCCTGGTCTCTACCTGTTGGGGAATGTTTCGGGTTGTTTGTTCTGAGCTCGCAAGTGAAGTCCGGGACAGCCGGCAGCTGGCCATAGGTCTGGTCTTTGCTGCAGTTCATTTTGCAATCGCAGACATTTGGAGGAGGTCTGCTGATGGGAGCTGCCCAAACCCGTGCCAGAGCAGAAAAAACAGTTCGTGTTTTTCTGTTCAGCTCAGGTTTGCAGATCAGTGAAGTCTTGAGCGTTCATGTCAATGTGAGGTATATAAGTGGTTCTCCTACAATCGGTCTGGTGGGTAGGGTAGGAGGATCACTCACCTTCATGAAATCTGCAGCTGATGTTACAGTTCTATTATCTATTTGCACATGCTCACATGTAGATGCACACGTTCATGTGCAGGTGCAGGTAGCTCTTCCCTCATTACGCATGGGATTCATTTCGAGAGTGCCTCCCGGGCCGTGTGAGGTCTCCAGGCGCTCGCTATGGGATCGCGTGACGATCTCTTTCGCGCATGCGTGGATTGTGGTCTCAAGACGGGATGCTACTGCGACGGCCCGTTGGGGAATGTTTCGGGTTGTTTGTTCTGAGCTCGCAAATGAAGTTCGGGACAGCGGGCAGCTGGCCATAGGTCTGGTCTTTGAAGCAGTTCGTTTTGCGATCGCAAACATTGAGGTCTGCTGATGGGAGCTGCCCAAACCCATGCCAGAGCAGAAAAACAGTTTGTGTTTTTCTGTGCAGCTCAGGTTTGCAGAATGGCTGACCGGATTCAGTAAACACTGTGGCCTTTGCTTTCGAAAACATGTCGCAGCGGTTGGATACGTAAAACGCGTGGAAGCGTTTCAAGACTTCAGCAAGTTGAGAAATTGTTGACCAGCTTGGCAGCATGACGTGAACAATAATCCCTTCTCGCATCGCATTTTCATCTTCTGAAACTGGACGATGGCATTTGGAACTTGGAATCATCGTGGGCTGCTGCCTGCTTTGAAGTGTATGTAGTTATTGCTCGTCGCAAGATGTGAGGAAATTCTAGCCCAAACATTGAAGTTGCCGCCAACAAGGCAAAGTTTGGCTATCTTGTTTCCTTCCAACACGGGACCCTTGTTCAACACCCCATTCATAACAACATCCCACTTTGACCACTGCGAAAGCTGCTTCGACTGTACATAACGCACTTGCGCCATCAGCAGGCAGAATGGCATGTCTCAACCCTCGCATGTGTGTTTTCTGAGGAAGGCAAGCGGAACTCCAGCGCTGATTGTTTGTTGGATGTCAACGCGACGGTTTCTTGGCATTTTCCAAGCTTGGCCACAGAGGCAGTTTGAACTTTCCTTGGTTCCCTCCGGGCAATCGCTCACCATTCTTCAGAGCCGGGTCCATTCGCAAGTGGGACCACCGTCACCGGCTGTTCACTTTTGTTCTCACGCAGTCCAACCCCTTGCTCTGCCTGAGCACAATGCCCAGCTCCCAATTTGGTGATTTCTGGTGTTCCATCATCCATTTTCAGAAGAGGCGCCAAGATGGCCACCGGCTCTCATGCGCTGGGGCACAGCCAAGGTGGTCACGAGAAGGGACATCATGTCACCGACAACAGAAAACATTTAAAAAGGGAACGCCGTAGCTTGACCAGGCAGCAGCTACTACATTGGACCCAAAGGCATGGCTCGGGCAGGAAAGGCCCTGGGCGAGGCTTGAGGGAGGCTTGGGTAAGGGGACACTCTACGACCAGCACCAGGGGCCTGAATGCACCTACCAAAACACACCTCATCACCTGCGCTTACTAGCGGCAGAGTCGTCTAGCACCTTCAAATGCAGTGTTCGCACGCCTGCGCAAGGCAGAATTTTCTGGCGGCTCACATCACCCCAGCCCCGAAATTAATCGGGGGCTTGAGAGTGCGGGAGTGACATGACTGCGGGGCGAGGCTCGGAGCCCAGAGGGTACGACGTAGGGGGGGCGACTACACAGACATGCTTGTAGATGGGGTATCTAAACAGGGTTGAAGCATGAGTAATCCACAGCAAGCCACAGCAGAAGTCCATGCTCATGGTTTGGGAAGGAGTGCAGTGCACACACCAGGTGAAAGCTTTAGGGTTTTCATCGCCTCTTGGGCCCTTGGGTGTCATGATGAGACGCAAGAGGCGAGCCAACATGACTCTTATCTTTGTCTCTTGCGCATTCAGACACGGGCGTTGTGAGCTGCACCTGCATGACGCACGTGGATTTGGTGTACGCCACAACAGTCGGCCAGGCGCTGGAAATTGTTGCACGGCAAAGGTGGGCCACACAAGCCTGGGTGCGCGAAAGCAGCCACTTTTTGTGTCTTTGCCTCCAGCTTGGGGTCTTTGCTGTGCAAAACCAGATGAAAAACCGTGCAGTCTGCCGCATAGCCATAGACGCTTTTTCTCTTCCTTTCTGCCAGCCTTCTATCTTGTGGCGCATTGCGTCATGGTACTTCTTCGTCGAGCTTCTCGCCAACATGGTCAGAATTATCCGTCATTACTCCAACCTGAAGAGCGAGAATAGCGAGAGGTAAAGGAAGGCATGTGGAGACTCGTGGCTTAGTCCGCGTTCTTCAGACAAAATCTGACTGCGCACGAGCAGACCTTGTTTCTTCTCAATCTGACGTTTGCAGCTTCCCCACTTTCGATGCTACCGCTTGTCCCAACTTCTTTCCCAGCGCTTTCCTGACCTAACACTGCTGTTGAGTTAGAAGAGTTGCTGAATGACTTGCTATGGGATGCATATCGAGGACACAGGGAAACCCCATGCAACGCCTCTTTGCCCTGGCGTAAGCCCTGGCCTGACCATTCTTTCGTAGCCATTGCACCTTACAGGCCCCCAACATCAACCAAAAAATGCGCATCAATGCTCGTATTCAAATGGGAGCGGAAGTAAACAGCGAAATCTTCTTGACGCAATTATGTGACCAGCATGCTGGCATATGCTGGCCGAACGCTCGCACACAATCATTCCGATTGAGGGACGCGCTTTAAGAGTTAATAATGGTCCTTTGAGACTTGCCACGTTGTTGAATATTGACTTGGCACATGCCCAGGTGAGGAACCGCTGTCCATTGCCTGCCGCCTGCCGCGGCAGCTGCGGGAATGCCTCACCTCCATGGAGCGCTTGAGGAGCTTGGCAAAAGACACCTTCAAGCACTGAATGACACTATGCTGGGTCAATTCGAAAGCTTTCAGGAGCGTTGGAGAGATGCTATCCTGCGAGGACACGGGCATTGCTTGATTTCATTTGTGATGCTGTCTTCCTACTATGAAAGCCTTGGTAGAATCACTGGCTTCAGATGTCCAATTTCCCTGTTGCTTCCATTTGTAATGCTGCTTTCATGGCGGGCCAGCTTTGTTGCCTCCGATGCAGGCCACCGAACTTTGTGATTGTCTGCTAATGCCTGACCCAGAGGCGGATGCTGCAGAATTGCGAAGTTGAAAAGACTTGTGACCCAAAACAGTTTCCCAGATGCACGCAGGTGATTCAAAAAGGCGGCCCATGCTTCGAGGCGCCACCCACGTCTCACATTGCCTACCAGCCCTGCAAGAAAGTTGCGCACGCGTGCGTGAATCCGTTGTCATTGCCGGGAAACTGATTCGAGAAGAGAATGCAAGTAGCCTCAGCAAGCCACTTAAATGCAGCATAGTCTTCTGGGCCAGTACTCTTTCCATCACTGAAGCTCAACCTGAAGCGGAGCTGCTCATATCAAGATGTTGAGCCTCATCTCGAGGTGAAGGCATTGAGCAAAGCCAGCAGCGACAAGGAGACTGACGAGCCAGAGACCGAGGGCCCTGAGACGGAAGAAACAGAGGAAACTGAGGCCACTCCTGCGGAAAGCATGCAGACTGAAGTGCTGCTGATTCATGACGGGCTTGGTTTTTGCATGCCCTGACTCCGTAGAAGTGGGGGCCTAGAGCTTTGGGTGACTCTGTAGAAGTGAGCAATTTTTTTATGACACGCTTGGGAGGCCGAGGATGCAGATGCCGGAGAAGGCATCCTCTCCGAGAGGCAGATTTGGCGTGGTCATACCTGTCATACAGTTTTGTCGAGGCCAAATGTGGCCTTGGGTAGATCATTCAAGAATGAGACGTATGCAGTGCTTGGCAATAGAAGTGGACCTTGGGCAAAACTGATTTATTTGGGATAGTGCTTGAGTCGTTTGGAGTCTGGTGGCTTCGATGTTTGCTGCTGGTTTATAGTTGCTGAGGTCATGACAGCGTCAGCTTTTTTGACGATTGCTGCAGGAATCTGGAGAGCGAGATGCTGGTGCAGATGAACGAGTTGCTGCACACCGAGGCTGAGCCAGGCGAGTTCTCTACTTCGAGACAAGCTGTCTCTGTGTGTATATATATATATACACAGAAATGTGTTTAAGAGTGTGTGTGTTGGGCTTCGGCTGTTTTCAGACTTTAGGTTCGGTGCATTCTGCAGGCGATCGCTCTGAAACTGATAGTGCCGCCAGCTCGTATGGGGGAAGTTGGAAAATCACATGCAGAGACGGGCAGTGGCGGCACTTGAGCCTCTGGAGCATGTGCACAAACCTAGTGAACTTCGGATGAGGTGAGCGACGAGCAAAATGATCTCCCAGAAGAGGAGATTGACGAGGTGCACTTGTCGGTCGTGATTTTTGCCTACTGAATTCTCGAAGTGCGCAAACTTGCCTGGAATAAGCCCTTGTGCCAGGAAGCTGATCTTGAAGGGCCCAGCACCAAGCACTGGAATAGAATTCCTCTCGACGACTCTCAAAGTCGCACTGCATCGCAAGTTAAGGATCGGAAGTGTAGCAGAAGCTGATAGCGGCTTCGGCTGGGGACCGAGTGCAGGTGGTGGCCTGGGTGTGCGTGGACCAAGTTTCTGACTTTTTATGCTGTTGCTGTGGCTTCAGCTTGTCAACTGGTTTGTTCCCAGGACCCATGTCCCTCCACAGTCAGTTCGTCCGGTGTAAGGCCAGCAGTCATGCCGACAGTCATGTCAGTTGCATGGCAAGTGGCAAGGATTTATTTCAAATTGGCCAATTCCTGTCTGGCTTGCTAGGTCTGCGGCGAACAAGAGAAGGCTGAGATTACGATGGCCACTGTGCACGGCGGTAACGTTCAGCGCTCCGCGCCAGCTACTTGCCAGGTGGAGAAGGTGGAGTTTCCAGCTCTTCGCATACGCTTGAGCTGCCGGTCGGTTGCGACATGGAATGCTCAAGTTCTGCAGTTCTGGCCCTAGATATGCTGCAGTCCTAGACCAGCACGAGCAGCTTCTGGTGTTCGCTTCTGGAGAGCAACATGTGCAAGTTGGCAGCTGCACTCCCAAATACGCTGTCAGGGAGAATGCGTAGGAAAACGAAGGGTGGTATGTGTAGAAGGCGAGCTGGGCTGCGTATGTCACGCTGCATCTTTCGGCTGCGATGAAGATGCAAGAAAGCTATATATGTGTTCAGTAAAATTGGTCACGGGAAGCAGCAAATGCCACAGCATAAATTGAAATCTCGATCCTTCTGGCAGCACGAGGGGGGCTCGCGCGGTTTCTGCCAAAAATCTAGTTTTCTCGTTCATTGGCTCGGGGGAAAGAGGAGGCCTTCTGGGGGCGCGTAGCAAGCCACATGTTTTGGCGGGGTGTAAGGGTTTCCATTTTGGGGGTTGAGGGTTCAGGGTTCATGCTAATGAACTCTATTTGCTTGCAGTTTGCCACCAGCACTATTCATGCCTCATTGCGCGACCTCCTCAATTTCCATGTGCGCAGCCTCTCAACGCACAAGGCTGTCCTTTGCAGCGTAGTTTCTGCTTCAGATTTGGATGAAATCTGGACGGCACGCGTGAGTGCTTGTGGTCCTGGGTCTCGGGGGTCCCCTATTGAACTTGCGCAAGCCCAGATGCAAAAAGACAGTTTTCGGATGTTTTCGGGTCTAGGCTTCTCAGCTGGAAAATCGGGATGGCCTATTCCCGGTGGCCAGGACATGCCTTGTGCAGGGCAGCCGACGTTTAATGTTGACGGCATGTCCGCACCATAGTGTTTGCGCGTGCAGCCTCTAGGTTTTCACATGGAAGGCTAGATGCAAGCAGGCGCTGGGGTTACTGTACGGGTTTAGGGATGTAAGGTACATTCCGCATTTTGTGCCCCCCTTTCCCCCTGGAGCGATCTATCTCAATTTTCAGGGGCCCCTGAAGAGTAGTGCCGAAAATGTTGGTCTGACTATCTATTCGGAATCATTTACAATACTTTTAAAATCGCTCAATATCCCTCAGCAAGTACATTTTCTGGAACATTTGAACTCTGGGTCTGTTGTAATTGTGGAACTTTTCTGAAAATAAGATTAAGGGGTTCAGGAATCTTCAGGGTTTGTGTGAGGTTCGCCTGTGCAGCCTCAGGAAGTTTGTGGTTCCAGCTTTAGGGGCTCAGGAGGCTTCCTTTTTGAGGGGTCAGTGGAGTTTAGGAGGTGGCTAAGGGTTCAGAGTCAGAGTTCAACGTTTAGGTGCGTTACGGTTCCGGAGTGCACGGCAGCGATTGCAGATGAGAGGTTTAGCAACTCGGGTTTGGCGTTAGGATATGTTAGGATGGTCTGGGGGTTTTAATGGGTTTGGGGGTTTGGGGGGGTTCATGCATGTCCAGGGCCGAAGGCTTCAGTTTTACCGGTGCATGCATCCTGTGACCACATCCACGCCTCCCTGCGATCCTGGGGCATGGTCATCAAGGGCGGGTCACGGCACAAGAAGGGGCGAGTGGGAAAACCCAGGGAAAATCAACTCAAACACCAGCCTCCAAGTCTTTGGTGGCATCACGATAGAGTCCAAGTGTACCCGCTTTTGCCAGTGCATTCAGCATTCAAGCTTGAGGCTTTTCCATTCTGAAGAAGATCGTGAGCAAGGTCACTTCCTGCAGAAATCTGTGTAGATCAAGGCACAACACTCGTCAGGCCACTATGCGGAGTCCGCTGATTGGTCTCACGAGTGGACCAACGAGTGGACCAACGAGTGGTCCAACCAATGGCCGCGCGCACGGCAGCCAGCAGGAAAGCGTTACGGCAGCATCGCAATGGACTTTCAGGTGGCAGAAGCCCTGCCCATATGAACCTTGGGAATGGGAATGGAGCTCGAAGAACAAGGTGCATCATGCTTGCATTCGGGTGAGCAGGCATGCTGTGGGAATGCGTGTGGCTGATGGAAGCACAGCTGAGGGAACGAGCGGAGGCCAGCTGGGAGCAACCGCAAGATTTGGTTTCACAAGGCTGCCTAAAGCATCCAGGCCCTGGCCCGGGCCCTCCGCGTGAGGCTCGTCTTGGTCGTCGCGCTGAGGTGCGCTGCCAGTGAGCCTCAGAGTTTCTCCTCTGAAGCTGCTATTGCCGGGAGCACAAGTCTGTCAAGTCAGATAACTCAGGCCTCAATGACTATTGTGGTTCACAGAATCTTCACGACGTTCCAGTCTGGGGTGTGGGTGTGGCTTCTCATGTCCGTGTCTTCCATGTCCTATTGCGTACTTGGCTTACATGTGCAAGTCCAGAGATTGCAAGGCACTCCTTTTTTGTTGTGGAAATGCATACGATGGAAGTTTCGGCATCACCGAGCCGTGAAGGTATGTATCTCTGCCAGGGTAGCGAACCCGCTTGCAGACACTGCGAAGTGCCTAGCACTAAACCTACAGAAAGAAGCTGCCTCTATTGGCGATCTAGTGCGGCGCCTTTGCACAAAGATTTGTCTACCATGCTCCCGGGAGAATATGCACTTCTGAGTAGGGCGTTTTCTGCAGGCAGAGAAGAGGCGCATCGAAGCGCAAATGAGGCGGGACATGAACAAGACAGTTGATAATAGATGTATATATATATATATGTATACGGAAAATGATTGAAGAGTATTCTTGATTTTTTGTTTTGTGTTTTTTTTTTTCTTCTGGGCTTCTAGGATTTCTTGCTTCTCCTTCTTGCTTCTCCTCGAACCCCCTCTGCTTTTTTTTGGCCATCCCTGCTTGCGCTGAACAAGTCATGTCATCACCATGGCACAACCCCTCAACTACCCGCCTTTTTTTTAAAGGCGATCCATGCTTGCAATGAAAAGCAAGCATCATGTCATCGGCATGATTATAGTAAGGGAAGGTTGCGCGGATCAT